CATCCCACCCCTCCCTCTTCATTAAGATGCCCCACCTTTATACTCCCATACAACCTGTCCCTTGATTTTAGCCTCAGTCACACTGCAGAGTAATTTTTATGTTATTTTCCTTCTTCTGGGTCAGACTGTGAACCCTATGCAAGCAGGAAACATGCTTTTCTGGATTTTTTTCCCAATGTGAATAAACTCTGTTGATTACCTTCCAATAACCTCTTTAATGATCTCTTTAGTGACTGATTATCTGTCACTAGTTATCAACCATGACTGAGTGGGGCCAGGCAGCCCACAACTCATAGTGTGTTCTGAGTTTCCATTCCTAAAGAAGAACATCCCATTGGCATTATTCAACTTCAGAGTTCTGCATTTGATACCTCTGGCCAGCTCGCTGTTATTCTTGGCCCAGTAAGCTGTGTTTGAGGTGGCAAAGAGAATGAGTCTTACCTTTGTTCCTTTAAAATAGTAAATACATACACTACATATTGTAGTTTCTTGCAACTAAAAGAATAATGGGGTTACATCACATGTGACCCATTTTATGACCTTTGGGATGATGGGTCCTTCAACAAAAGCAAATGGTAAGTAAGGAGACTAAAATGATGAGGAAATACATATGTCACCTGCCCTCAAGTAGTAGATAGTCTAGTTGTACATTTTGTTATCTATTGCCCACTTATTAGGAGCAAGAATTCTTACAGTGAGCAAGGGCCAGAGACCCCTGAATTGCTTCTGGCTCAGTAAGGACTTCTATTATTTGAGGGATACATTTTCCCCTAAAGGCTTCTAAAAGTAGGCTATTTCAGAGTCCCAACTGAAAAAATGTCCACCCCGTATCCAGCATCCTGAAACCTGAAGCACGCGAAATGGCAAGCCCCGTGGGAAATATAACTCCAGGAGTGCCGGGTCTAACAGAATAGCATCAGTGAGAGCCTGGTACTGAATTGTAGTTCAGTGGTTCGGTTGTGCTCACAAAGTACAACTATTGAAGAGAACACTGGAGGTAAGAGACAGCTCTTAACAGGACACATAACTCAAAGTTACAGCGTGAGAACCAAAAGGAACTGATAGTTTATTTAGAAATGCCACGCAGGAGGAAAATTAAGGAGGATTGTAGATGGGTCTTTCACCTGAGCTCTCCAAAGACCACTGAGGCAAATATACATATTGCATATTCAATTTGTTTGATGACATGTTTGCAATATAAAATTCTTTTTTTTTCTTTGAAAGAGTCTCCCTCTATTGCCCTCGCTGGAGTGCAGTAGTACAATCTCAGCTCACTGCAACCTCCGCCTCCTGGGTTCAAGTGATTCTCCTGCCTCAGCCTCCCAAGTAGCTGGGTGTGCACCACCACACCCAGCTAATTTTTGTATTTTTAACAGAGACAGGGTTTTACCATGTTGGCCAGCCTGGTCTCGAACTCCTGACCTCAAGTTATCCTCCTGCCTCAGCCTCCCAAATTTCTGGGATTACAGGTGAGTCACTGCACCTGGCCTGAAATTATTTAATTTTTATATTTCTTATAAATTTATTTTGTAGCTAATAAAATTAAGTGACACATACAAAATATCCAAGTCATCACACCAACTTATATGAGGATGAGATTAAAATTCTGTCCTCTTTCCACTAAGGTACTTTGTCCTGCTTATTTTTTGTTATACCAAGGACGAAAAAAAAGTGTCTTTTTCAAATATTTGCTTGGCAGTTAGACCTATAATTGGAGTAGAAGACACAATATTCATACAATTCCTTGGAGTTAAGAGATGAGGTATTTAACTTCTATTTTTTTATTTCTGGTCAAGCCATTCATTTTCCTGGGAGAATTCTAAAGTCAAATTCCATCTAAAATATTATTAACTTGCCAGTTGGTTCTGAGAAATAAGTTTTTAAGCAATTTGACTCAGAGCATGTTCTCACAACAGGGCACTGTCCCCTGACCAAAGGTGGTCACCTACTCAAATTCCTGATGTCTGGAAGCTAACACACCTGCCCCAATATCTCTTGTGACCAGGTTTCTACCATGCCATGTGGTGTAAAAATTGGGTATTTCATTCTCAGCAACATGATCCTTTAGATAAAATTCTGAAAGTCTTTCTTTTTTTTCATTTTTCTTACACAAGTCCTTGCTTTGCTCTTGTTAGTCTTGTCAACTTCTGACATTATCTGTTTGGGGGCACTCTTCCTACCATCATTGCAACAAAGGAAAGAGGTTTGTTTGTGCAAAGCTGAATCTGTGCATGCCTCGCAGTGGTGCCTGAACGTTCTCTCTCTCATTCATGTAAAGTACACAAGTATTTCCCTTACTGTCAAAAATCAATCTGACTGGGGAATATCAGACTATATTTGTGCAGAAAATGATTAAAATTCAAATGATTGCCAGAATGATATAAATAAACTCAAAATGATGGTCATAGTACATTTATTGAGCTATATAAATGTGTATCTAGTAAAAATACTTCAACAATTCTTCAAGTATAGAGGCCTTATTTCCCTTTTACATTCTATAATAAAACTCATCAGGTATAGTTTCTGTTACAATATCTTTTTAAACTATACCAGCAGTCCATCAGTACATTCTCTTTTTTCTTTTCTTTTTTTTTTTTTTTTTTTTTTTTTTTTTTCTTTTGAGACAGGGTCTCACTCTGTTGCCCAGGCTGGAGTGCAGTGGTATGATCATGGCTCACTACAGCCTTGAACTCATGGGCTCAAGCAATCCTCCCACCTCAGCCACCAAGCAGCTGGGACTACAGGTGCATACCACCACACCCAGCAAATTTTTTGTATTTTTTGTAGAGATGTGGTTTTACCACATTGCCGATGCTGGTCTCAAACTTCTGGGCTTATGCCCTCTGCCCACCTTGGCGTCCCAAAGTGCAGAGATTACAGGTGCGAGCCACTGTACTTGGTCTTTATTCTCTTTTAAACCATTAATGCCTATCTCTCTTAAATAGGTTTAAATCACAAAAAGAGTTCTACAGGAGATATCAGGGGCTGAAAAATAGTCAGGAAAGGTCTTTCCTTTTAATGTACCTATAAATCATTCTGAACTTTCTACAATAGCAGTAAAAGAGATCACCCTCAATCTCTGTGACAGGCCTTTTTAATCCCTGCATCCAGTAACTACCCATTCACTTAAGGAAGAATGATGAAAGGATGTAAACACTTCTCAACTACGCCACGGAATGAGAAGAGTAAAAAATCAACAGCAAAATGAAACTACCAGAAACTTATAGAAAAATACACTTAATATGGAGCCATAACTTTCACATTATAGTCAGGTGCAAGGAAAGGATTCCTATTTTCACTGTAACTGCTATATATTTTATTTACAATAATACAACACGTTATACAAATGATATTTTAAGTTATAACTTTAGAGATAATACTGATATTTCTATGATTGTATACATATAGGCAATTCACTATTGGAAAAACATTTTCAAAGAGTGTCCAGTAAGGTGACTGGATGCAAGATCAATTAAAAAAAAAAACCAATAGCTTTCTTTATTACAGGAAATCAATTAAAATATAAAAGGAAACATAACAGTAAAAAATTATAAAATACATCGGCATAATCATGATGTCAAGAAATGTGCCAGACCTTTATTTAAACACTCACACAATATGACCTGAGAGTATAAAATAATATTTGATTACATAGAGAAAATGCCCATGGTTTGGAAAATATGATGTTTATAAGGTTTTAATATTTTCAAATTATACTAAGAATGCAATGCCATTCCATTCGAAAATTCCAAGAATTGTTGATGATCTTGAAAAGATAGTCAAATTTTACATGGATTATTAAATATGAAAAGCTAATTGAGAATATTTTACAAACTAACACTTTGGGAGACCAAGGTGGGCAGATCACTTGAGGTCAGGAGTTCAAAATCAGACTGGCCAACATGGTGAAAGCTGTCTCTACTAAAAATACAAAACTTAGTCAGGCGTGGTGGTGCATGCCTGCAGCACCAGCTACTTGGGAGGCTGAGACAGGAGAATCGCTGGAATCCGGGAGGAGGAGGTTGCAGTGAGCCAAGATCGTGCCACCACACTCCAGCCTGGGTGACAGAGCAAGACTCCATCTCAAAAAAGAAAAAAAAGAAAAATAATAAGGTGGTGATGGTTCTGTCAGATATAAAAAAGCATGATAAGGCTATAGTATTTGTAGCTATGATAAAAGTGTAGTATTTGTGCAGTAGACAAGTACATCATTGAACCAAAATAAGTATTTCACAGGTAGCTGCAGCATTTATGGGAATCTGAAATATAAAAATGATGGCATTTCAAATTACTAAGTGACAGTGGTCTGGTCAATAACGTGCATTAAGACGATTGTTTACGATGAGGAAAATACATAATTTTATGTCATTTTTCCAAAGACAAAATAAACTTCAGCTAGAACTAAATTCGAAAACAAGAAAAATAAGGCAGCTATGAAATTATGAGAAGAAAATATGGGATATCCACAACATGAAAACAATAAGGAAAAGACTGATACACTTTTTTCATTGCTTGTCATCTCTAATCAATTTGGTACATTTCATGGTATCAAAATATGCCATAAGTATAATTAAAATATAAGGAATAAACTGGGAGAAAATATTTTATAACACATAAAGCAGATAATATTGAGAATTTGTAAGTTAATAAATGCATGTCCGTTAATTATATATGAAAGATATGTAGATTAATAAACCTGTGAAACAGTACATTAGAAAACAGAGTAGCTATATAGAAAAGCAAATAGCAGAAGAGATTAAAAAAAAAATGTCAAAAACCAGCTGGGCATGGTGGTCCATGCTTATAATCCCAACACTTTGGGAGGCCAAGGCAGGAGGATTACTTGATTCCATGAGTTCAAGACCAGCCTGAACAATACAGTGAGACCCCATCTCTACAAAAAAATTTTTAAAAACCAGGTATGGTGGTACAAACCTATAGTCTCAGCTATGTAGGAGGCCAAGGTAGGAGGACTGCTTGAGCCCAAGAAGGTAGAGGCTGCAATGAGCCATAATTCTGCCACTGCACTCCAGTCTGCATGACAAAATGGGACACTGTCTTAAGAAAAAAAAAAGAAAAGACAAAAACCATCCTCAGCTAAACCATCAAATACATGTAAGAACAATAAAATCATAGACCAACCAATATTTGCAAAAATGGAGAATAAATGAAGTTTTATAGAAATGAATCTACATTATGAAATACTGTGCTTCATAGCTTTAAAGAGTGAAGTACGTCTCCACATTCAGACATGAAAAGATCTCAGGGGCAAATAATTTAATCTCTAACATATCAGATCCCATATATTCTGTGTGAAATTTTTTTCTACTACATATTACACTAGAAACATGAACCAAAAAATGCTGGCACTCAGAGGAAGGATTTTATCTGGAGAGGATGACAGATGTGACCCTGTAGCCAATCCCTAAAATATGACTGAGTATTTGACAGTAAGAAAAGTGGTGAATAGATCTTTTAGAAGAGGCTATAGTCTGTTCCAAACTTCTCAAAATTGCATTCCAGTCTACTTTGTCAACCCCATCAGTTCATCTGTAATCAATCCCCAATCACCCACTTCACGTGGAGCTCTTTGATGCCATCTTGCCTTATACCAACCTGTTCTTCTCTACTAACATCTCCTCTGTTCTCCTCTCAGTCTCTCCCTTCCCGTTTGCCCAGCTAAGCTAATTCCTTTTTTTTTTCTGAGACAGAGTCTTGCTCTAACACCCAGGCTGGAGTGCAGTGGCACAATCTCGGTGCACTGTAACCTCCGCCTGCTGGGTTCAAGCGATTCTCCTGCCTCAGCCTCCCATGCAGCTGGGACTACAGGTGCACACCACCACACCCAGCTAATTTTTGTATTTTTAGTAGACACGGGGTTTTTACCATATTGGCCAGGCTGGTCTCGAACTCCTGACCTCATGATCCACCCACCCCAGCCTCCCAAAGTGCTGGGATTACAGGCGTGAGCCACCGTGCCCAGCCTTGCCTGGCTAATTCCTTCTTGTAGGCTTAGCTAGGCCACTACCTTCTTTGTAAAGTCTTTTCCAATCTGTATCTTCTCTCTGAGCATTCTTACTTCCTCATGCTTCTTTTCCCAAACAATGTATGCTACTGTTTAAGATCCAGAATCAAAACTGAACCAAAAATATGATTTCTAAAGTCAGCAAAATATTGATAATAAAAAAGTAAACTCCCCACATGGCGGATGAGTTTCAATAAATTACCCGTGAAAGAACCTGAATGGTTCTGTAATATGTATGTTCATTATGCTAATGATAACACATCAGAATTAGTACAGAAAAGTTATTTACCACCTAACTTTTCACTTTCAGATGAAGTAACTCCACGTAAGTGGTAAATTTCCTTGATGTATATGCATCAAAATAGAATGACTTTTTTTCTTCTTTTGGAAATCCTGGGAGACTGCTAATGTCTCTTCCCCTTGGTTACATTTACAAATGTCAAAAAAAGTAAATTTATTTTGTAAAACTTAGAATATTTTCAGTGTCAAGCACAACCATTTAAAACATGCTGCTGTTTCTCTTTGGATGTCTGACTACAACATTGAGGCTGAAAATGTCCCACAAATTTAAAATAAATGACAAGCAGAGTCAATACATTTTTTTTCTTCTGTTATTAAGACTTGAAAAGAAATCTATTGCTGAATTGAAAAAAAAAAATCAAGATAACTGATCATCAGTTAGGAAAAAATGTTCATCCTAGTTAATAATACATGTAATATATCTAGTATGGTTATTATTGCATTGTATTCCAACTTAGTGAGGAACATTTTATCCAAGCAAAGGAATGGCAGAGCCCACGTGAATAGGGACTATAAGTAGACAAGGCAAACAAAGAAACTGTGTAAGAGAAAAAGAAAACATGAATATATTTGAATGGCTTATATATTCCAGGCATTATCAGCCACTTTCAATCACCTTATTTAATTTAATCTAGGTTGAGTTTAACTTATTGAAACATAAAATCAATCTATGCAGACTGGGGCATTGCTATCATTTATGGGTTAATATCTGATATCTAAACTCTGCAAATCTAATAATAATGCCCTATTCCCTCATGCCGTGTTTAGAAGGAATGGGGTGAAACTCAGATTCCCAGCTGCCAGGAAATAGCCAACAACGTTATCTAGATTTAGACAATGATTGCTGCATGCGAGACATATTTGAGGCCTGTCATATAACAAAGCAGTTGTGTTTAATTTGTTGGAGGTTTCAGGGTCCCCTTTAGGTGCCTCAGTGAATACGTCACTGGTAGAGACACCTTTCAATCCAGATGGATGGGAAATTAACATGTTGTTAATGAGTGGCATCCATGTTTTAGCAAGAAAACAACAGCAACAATTCCAAAACAGTGATTTGAAAGAGTTGTATATTGATTGCTGGTTGTTAAAGTGGATTTCAATGTACAAAATACTAACAACAAAAATCAGTGTCTCCTTTCACTTCACAGTGTGCCTTTAAAAACATCATTCAGTTTTTCGAAGACTGGTCGTTGAATTCAGGACACGTTCCTAACGGTTGCTGCCTTAGTTAAGAGTACACAATAGAAGTTGGCAGAATAAAGAGGATAGATTCTAACTAACTGTGATGTTTGTGCATTCTGAAATCTCTTCATTAAGCTTCTCCTGACAGTGAAGGAATAAATGAAGACTGCTGAAGCTAACATTGTCTTTTACCCCCAAGCTCCAAGCCATATGAAAGTGTCAACCCTCAATAAAAAACAAGTTTGTCAATTTTAGCTTCAATATTTTAGGGTGGGAAGGCTAAAATATCCATAAGACAAAAGAGTATTCTTTATTATTAGGCCAGTAAGAAACTAAAGAATTCAATAGCCCTGGCTTACTAGGAACCCCAATCATATTATGAAACAGCTCATCACATACCTGGTTGTGTTCTCATGGGTCAAAGTGAGACACTCATCACTTGTCATGGGATTGATGCCATGGATGCTTTTTCTACAAAGCCTTTCTCCTTAATGAAAGGCATTATAAAAATAAAACTTGTTATAAAAAAGTTCTATAATGTCACTCATAATTATGTTTATACATTATCAGAAAGTTATTTTACCTTCACAATTTATCTGAAATATTGTTTAGTCCTAAATAACAGAATTAAGAATGTTTCTGTATTCAAGGAATAGAATAGATCATCAGTTGTATTTTTTTATGGTCACAAGTTTCCTAAATACGAAAACACATAGCTTTGGGAATTTTTGTTGTTTGTTTGTGTATTTCTTGCTAGCTCTGGTAGCTTTCTTTAAAGAATTTAAAAGGACAGTCTAATCACCCTAAGAGGAAATGTGTTTTATTTTTATCTACTCTACAATTTAAAAATTCCTTCAATTTTTCTCCTGCAAGGGAAGTTTAATGAGCCATATTTGCTTGTTTCCATGGTATTTCAAAGGAAGATTACTAGCTGAAGCCAAGAAGATGTATACAAAAAAAAAAAAAAAAAAAAGTAGGGAAATAACAGCCCTTGCAATAAGACAGAAACTTTACTTTTCAAATAAATTCCATAGGTTCATAGTTATTTATAATCTTTGAATCAGTGTTAATCATTTTTCATGTTATTTAAAGATTGATTTCCCCTGAAAAAAAAAAAAAAAAGAATGGTAACAAGAGTACTATCTTGTAAGATGGTTTACCACTGCAAGTGCACGTATAACCCACCATGATAACGGACCAAAATTCAACTCTCTGTGCAACTATGGAATACCTAGAAAAACAAGGATGAAGTCCAGCTTGCATTGTCTTAGATCTGGTTGATAGTAGGCTGAGTCTGTGTGTGTTACAGAAAGCATCATTATGTTCTGTTATCTCTGAACACTGACACTTGTAAATCCACTCACAGTTGAGGGAGATTTTCCCAAAAGCAATTGGCCAACACGTGTTGTGTTGCTCTCTTTCATCTCCAAAGTACATATTGATGACTTGCCTTTCAATTTTGTTTAAGTATTTTGATGATATCTGATGTTTAAAATACAAAGCAATTAAATCAAAGATTTCTATGGCGTCTCATGCAGTGACATTACAATGCCACATTTATAACTTGTGATGATGATTAAGTTCTATTCTGTAAATATTCTCAATCTCTCTTTTACATGTTTAAGACTAGGTAGGTGACGCCGGGCGTGGTGGCTCACACCTGTAATCCCAGCACTTTGGGAGACAGAGGTGGGTGGATCACGAGGTCAGAAGATTGAGACCATCCTGGCTAACACAGTGAAACCCCATCTCTACTAAAAATACAAAAAATTAGCCAGGCATGGTGGTGGGTGCCTGTAGTCCCAGCTACTCTGGAGGCTGAGGCAGGAGAATGGCATGAACCTGGGAGGTGGAGCTTGCAGTGAGCCAAGATCACACCACTGCACTCCAGTCTGGGCGACAGAGCAAGACTCCATTTCAAAAAAAAATAAATAAATAAAGGCTAGGTAGATGAGTTGGCATGTAAATGGGAGAGCAAGTCCTGAAGTCACATGTGTTGGACATCACAGGGCCTATTCTAGCATTTCTGAAAAAGAAATGTCAAGCATAGGAAATGTTACATTTGTAGACAAAAAGAGTCAAACTCTTTACAATATTGAAAAGATTTTTTCTGACCCAATTATGAGTAACCAATAGCCCATGATACAGATGCAGGATGCCGTGAACATGTGCCCCAGATGGTCGGGCACATGTTCACAGCTACAAATGTATTAATGTATAAAGCTTTGGTTTATATATTTTAGGGAGATTTAAGACATCAACCAATACATGTAAGATGTACTTGGGTTCAGTCTGGAAAGGTGAGACAATTGGTAGCAGAGTCTTCCAGGTTATAGGCAGACTCAAAGGTTTTCTACTTGGCAATTGGTTGCAAGAGTTATTATCTAATGACCTGGAATCAATAGAAGGGAGTGTCTGGGTTAAGATAAGGGGCTGTGGAGACCAATGTTCTTAAGCAGATGAAGCCTCCAGGTAACAGGCTTCAGAGAGAATAGATTCTAAATGTTTCTTATCAGACTAAAAGAATCTGTTCTGTTAGTCTTAAGGTCTCTGTTTGGGTGTTAATACTGGTCAGTTAGGTCTGAATTCCAAAGGAGGAGGGTATTGTGAGGCATGTCGACCCCCACTTCCCATCAGGGCCAGGACTAGCTTTTCAGGTTAATTTTGGAATGTCCTTGACTGAGGGGAGGGTCCATCGATCAGTTGAGAGGCTTAGAATTTTATTTTTGGTTTAGATTTTCTTAAAGGTAATTCAATACCATTGACTATGTAATATCAACAAAACAAGAAAGAGTAGAGATCATTAGAAAATGTACATTTTATGAGGTGATGTTGTGGGAGGGCAAGGCTCTTGGCACTCCCAAAGTTTGCTGAAAAAGCAACTGAAAATAAGGTGTTAAAAAGAGAAAAGGCATATGAATCTCTTTAACCATCCACCTGGAGAGAATTAGATAGTGATTGCCCAATATCTCAGTGGAGCCCGGAAGCTTGTATGTCACTGTGAGGTTGCAGAAAGAATGGGGGCTTGGATCCTGGACAAACAGGCTGTGGGAGGGGAAGAAGAGGAATTGGATGATTGGATCAGGCAGCAGAAATTAAATTGTAAATAGTTATCTTTGGAATGTAAATGATCCGTGTAGGCAGTCATTATCTTGTAAATGGGTTTGTTCAGGTGTGGTTGCATTCTAGGTCTTCTTTCCTGTCATGGATGATAAGATAACAGGGAGAGGAACAAGAACAATCATTCTAGGTGGGAAGTCCTATCTTTATGTAGACAGTGATAGCGTCTCTTCTAGCACTTGCTGATTTTGTCTGTTAGCAGAAAGGGGTCTGGATCCAGACCACAAGAAAGGGTTCTTGGATCTCATGCAAGAAAGAATTCAGGGCAAGTCCATCAAATGAAAGCAAGTTTATTAGGAAAGTAAAAGAATAAAAGAAAGGCTACTGCCTAGGCAGAGCAGCCCCAAGGGCTGCTGGTTGCCCATTTTTATGGTTATATCTTGATTATATGCCAAAGAAGAGGTGGATTATCATGCCTCCCATTTTTAGACCACATAGGGAACTTCCTGATGTTGCCATGGCATTTGTAAACTGTCATGGCACTGATGGAAATATAGCAGTGAGAACAACCAGCGGTCACTCCGGCTGACACCTTGGTTTTGATGGGTTTTGGCCAGCTTCTTTACTGCAACCTACTTTATCAGGAAGGCCTTTATGACCTGTATCTTGTGCTAACTTCTATCTCATCCTGTGACTTGAAATGCCCTAAGCATCTGGGAATGCAGCCCAGTAGTTCTCAGCCTCATTTTACCCATCTCCTACTCAAGATGGAGTTGCTCTGGCTCACATGCCCTTGACATATCAAAATATTCATTATACCAGGGAGCCATATTTTAAGGTGAAATTGACTGCACTCCTTCAACATGCTCTAGGGGAAGAAACCTTGAATTGAAATTAAAAGAAGTTGGTTTCTAATCATAAAACTGTTATTGAGTAGAAATACAAAGTCTTGAGTCTCAGTTTATTCCTTTGGGAAATGGTGTTGGGTTAGGTGATATTAGAATTACCTTTAAGTTCAGGCTAACACAGATGATGGGGGTGAGGGGTAGGAAGTAGCCAGTAAGTATTCTGTCTCTGGTCTTTGAGTACCTATTTCTCAAACATTAGTATTGAATATAAAAATGCTCTAGGAATAAATGCTCAGTGCTGCAAAGTGAAACCAGCATTCAGCCAAAAGTTCTCTCAGCAAGGCAATTTACTTCTGCAGAAGGGTGCCACTTGCGTCAATCAGGATAGCAAGAGCACAGGGAACAAAGGAAAGCAGTGAGCTTTAACCTCTGACAGTAGTTCCTGCCTCTGTGTCACTCCCTCACGGACTGGGATTGGACCACACAATCTGAGCTGACCCGATTGGCTACTAGCAAATATTTTTCTAAATATGAAAGGGAAGGGGGATGTGAGGTACAGTGGTGAAGCATGTGAGACGTGCAGTTTCCGGGGAACTGTGGGTGCAGGTAACCAAGGGAACAGATGGGAGTTATTCATTAGAGCTGATGGGAAAGGGGTAGGCTGTTTTACAGTAACTAGGGGGAAGGAGGAACAGGAAAGTTGACTTTGAGAACAAAAGACAAGCAAGTTAGCAGGCAAAATCTTTGAAGAGAAACTCAGAGAAATTCATTGTATCTTACATTAGGTAAGAAAAAGCCATGAAAAGAGAAATTAATCAAAGAGTGAACTTTTGTACCTTGATCTTTTCCTTGTGGGCATTCAGGCCACAAAATCCAAAAGAGAGGAGCTGAAGCCCGACTGGCCAGCCACACAGACCTTCATGAAGATCCCTGCAGAGGCTGCAACACAAACAAACAAAGGCATAAAGAAGCCAAATTCACTCAAGAGTATGACAGCCTGTGAGGACATTAAAGAAACCCAGAACCAGATAGTTATTCAAGTGGTGAAAACAGATTTCATTCAGGAACAATTACAGTTGGGGAAAATACTTCATTAGCGTATGTGAAAAGAAAATAAATCTTGGGTACCCCAAACTCATAAAGCCAAAAGGATAAGTTAAGCTGGGAACTGGGTGACGCAAATGCAAACTTGCCTCCCCGTTTTGTTTCCTAAATAAGATGGCTACAAGATGAAAAGCTACACACCTCTCCAAAATATTTTGCCTACAAGGAAATTGCTAGTGAGCTCCAAGATCTTTACCCTAAAGTGTTTCTGTTAAAATTTCACCATGGCAATGTAAATTGATAGCTTATCTTTATAGATGCAGTCAAGCCCCTGACCACCTGACACAAATGCATACCTGGTTGTTCCCCTGCCCCATTTTGTCTATCTTGTCTTGTATCAAAATGCAGCTTCTCTGCATTTTTCCTCTGTTCCATTTGCCTATGTCATCTTATGCGTGAAAAAAAAAAAAAAAAATGCAGATTCACTGGGCCAAAGGCATGAATGACTATTTTTCCCTACCCCCTCTTACAGGAAAATTGTATACTTCTCAATATCCCACCCTTTTCCCTTTAAATTGGGAGCCCTCAACATTATATTCAGAAAAAGGCCTATACCTGTCTCCTGGGAGTGCATCCTTAACTTTAGCAAAGAAACTTCCTAAAATGATTGAGACTTGTCTCATCATTTTTCTTGATTGACATATAGAACTGGGATCAATTCCAAATACATCAAGAACAAGTTGGGGCTGGATGCAGTGGCTCATGCCTGTAATCCCAACACTTTGGGAGCCAAGGCAGGAGGATTGCTTGAGTTCAAGAGTTCAAGACCAGCCTCGGTAAGATAGCAAGTCCCTGTCTCTACAACTTTTTTTTTTTTTTTTTTTTTTTTTTTAGCTGGGAACATGCCTGTGGACTCAGCTACTCAGGAGGCTGAGGTGCAAGGATGATTTGCACCCCAGAGGCTAAGACTTGAGGGTATTGTGAAGCATAAAAATGCCACTGCATTTCAGCCTGGGCAACAGAGACAGACTCCATCTCAAAAATTAAAAACAAAGAAAAGAAGTGGGAATTTACAGGCAAGGAGCAGGTTGAGGAATGGTTGGTAGACAGAAAATTACTAATACCCCAGAGTAGGAAGAACCTGGTTAAATTAACCTAACAGGATTCTTGTTGAAGGCATGCCAGGGTGATCACATGTCACCTGGGGCATGATAAGGGATAAGGAATTGGATTAGATATTAAAGGTGATCAGATGTCAAGGGTGGGGTGTTCTCTCAAGCTGAGTTAACAGGATTCTTGCTTCAAGTGGTCTAGGGAAGCCCAGCAAACACAAAGCCCAAGTGAAGGCCTAGTGGAGAACAAGGCTCAGAGAAGTCAGACTAAAGTCTAGTCAGGGAGAGATGATTTGTTGCTGACGAGTAGTGCAAACAAAAGAGGACACAGGGGCACAAGAATCACTGATGTCAGCCACTCCAATGAGGGATATTCCAACTTCAAAATAGAGACTTTGTTATAAGAACGTTAAAAAGAAAAGCCTTATGCAAACATGCATCTATTAACAATTATACACAACAAATATATAGCTGCATATTTCAGTTATTTATTTATTTTTTCCAGCAGAGCATGTTTCTGGGCTTTAAAGCTCTGTGGATTATACACATTTAAACAAATGCCCTCATTAAAAACTCAAATTCCAGAAGCTCTTTGCAAAGAAGACCAGTGCCTGTTTGAATATTTCATAGACTATAATAAAGTGGCTCAGATTTCCTTGGCTGGTTGAAATGTTCTGAAGAAAACAGAAAGGATAAAACATATTCAATGAAAGTGTTAAATATCCTCCAATATCTGGAGCTAGCAACTTCTCTGCATGGGTTGAGCTGAATTTCAAAACCATTGTCATTCCTAAGACAACCTGTAGTTTTAAATGACTAGGTTGTCAGCCTTTAAGTTTTCTACATTTGCCTTTTCTGCTTTAGTGAATAGTAACAATTACATTGCAAACAGCATGTTATTTCCAACTGTTTTTTGACAGAAATCTTTGTGTTACAAATATTGCAAACTTGAGTTCATTTGCATGATTCATTTTTTATGTAAATCTTAAGGGTGGAGTTTTTCTTTTAAGACTTCAATAAATTTGGTCTTTAAAGCAGTATTGATTTGTCTTTCCCACACACACAAACACATACTTGCTAAGCACAAGTGTTAAGGATTTGTATAGATTTGGAAACAATTTTTAACATACAATTGTTAGGTTCCTATAGCAAGACTTTTTAATAGTTGGAATTCACTGATGAGGGGAAGTGATGCATTTAGAAGAAGGAACCAGGGAAATTATATATTCTTTTTTTGTTTGTTTTGTTTTTTCAAAGAACTTGTTCCAACACCCTCAAACTGAAAAAGAATAGATGGAATTTTTTTATATGTAATCAACTGAAAATGTCATTTCTGGTTTAGAAAGAAGACAGAATTACTGTTATAAAGTGCAACGGGCTTGGGGATAGCATAGGATGACCCAGGCCCTTGAAGATGTTTATCTTTCAAGCTGATTTAAACATTTAACAACTACCGAGTCTTTGAAGATCTAAGGAAAAACCAGTAGGATTAAAGCCTGTGTTCCAATGTTTTAAAATAACTTTAAATATCTAAAGTAGCACAAAGGCATTGCTTATTAATTATATCTAGCTTTTGTAGAATATATGTAATAACATATTTATAGCAATTTATCCATATATATGTATGTGTGTATATACATAGATGTGTATATATGTGTGTGTATGTGTATATATGTTTAATGAACACTAGATATGCAGAAGGCATTGATCTTTGCAAAGAGGAATAAGTGAATGATGGATACAAAGGTTTCAGCCCTTGATGAAGAGACTTTAACATTTCCCTTAGGTTGACTAAACTTGAGACAGGTGTGTTCATGACTACACTCCCATGACCTACTTTTTTGTAGAGCATTGACTTTAGAAAACTCATAATTGTAACTTCTTTCTCTGCCTCTTTGAGATGTAAATCTTCTCTAAGACTCTTGAAGTTTTATAACCCAGGAATGTCTTTCTCAAGGACCTGGGAGCCATTTTTTGAAATGTAATCATTGAAGGAGATAGTGCCTCTGTCTCTTTGTGGGAGGGTGGGGGCCTAACTTTAATACCTGACCATTAGCAAAGAGATGTTCTAAGTACACTGAGCAACCTCTGCCCTGACATCCTCTTGGACCTTTGCACTAGCTCATCCCAGTGCTTAAAAATCCTTCAGCCCAGGCTTTGGTTTGCTTGGCAGAGATTAGTTCAATCTCTATTCCCTATTGCCATAGTTTTGAATACAGTCTTCCTTGCCTGTTTAAATCTGTCTGGCACAGGTTTTTGTTTGTTTATTTTTCATCCTTAAGGAATATAAAATCTAGAGAAGTAAAAGTCACAGTTAACACAAGAGCCTTCAGTTAGTTAATACAGGAAAAGCCACCCAGGCAGTCACAAAAGAGAGATTCTACTTTATAATCACATATACAAAGACTTCACAATAAACATCTGAACTATACAAATGACTTGAAATGTAATGCATTCAAATTTGTTTATTTTTATTTTGTTAAATATACCTATTTTTTCCTAATATGATTTAACATGACTATGATGCACTTATAATTGTAGTAGTGAGGATGCATAAAATTGTGAAGAGTTAATAAATACCTGAACAATAACATTTAAATCCATAGCATTTGTCCTCAATGTTTTTCTTTGTGAATTCTTTTTACCTAAATTCTAAAATTAAATTTTGCTGAGTGTTTTCAAAATGTCAACGCTCTGATTATCCAAATTTGCCCTTTTCATTTTATCTCTATAGAATTGGCTGCTAAATCTTATTGTTTCTTAGGTAATCCTTTCTTCTACTTAACTATTAATATTACCATCATTGAGTACCAAAAACCACCTTCAACTATAATGTTTACTATAAATATGAATGTGTTATACTATCCAACTGCATGCATTAATGTACCTTTATTATTTTAAGATATTCTTAAATAGATGAAGTTGTAAATAACTGTTTCCAGGATCTCTGCAAAATTCATTTATCTAAACAACAAACAACTTTAAGAATCTCTCGGGCCGATAGATTTCTTAACGAAGATCATCAAAAAACTTTGCACTTTACAGGACTGTTTTAAAACCCTCACTGGCTTCATCCATTAATTCCAGGCTATTATGTTCATAATCTATACTCAAGCCCTATCAGCCGCCAACACCACTTATAGACATGCTTTACCAGCACCCTGCCCAAGACAACCTCTTAAATATCTTTTTCTCTCCTTCCTCTGAGATGCTACTAAGAAGCTTATCAAGGTAGTGGCCTCTCTTAAAGCAGCAATAAACTTACCTTTGCTTTATCAATGGATTGTTTTGATGGTCTTTCGAAGGAGTCAGCAGTTGATACCACTAAAGACCAGGCCTTTGTGAGTGCCTTTCTATCCTGGATTGCTGTCGTAGCCACTTAGCTAACCCCTCATCTGCAGCCTTTCATCTCTTTAGTGTATTCTGCACACCCTAGCTAGACATCTTCAACAAGAAATTGGGAGGACATTAACCACCAGATAAAATCCAATTTCTACTGTCTGACTTGAAATATATCCCAAGTTTCCTTTCTAGATTTACTGTCTATCATTCCCAATAGTCAAACTCAATTTTAACCAGAAGGGCCAATTCAGTTTTCTCTCTGTGTATCTTCCTCTTCTTCATTTTCTGATGTTTCTACACAATTTTCTCTCAATCCCTATTTGTATAAATATGACTCAAATTTTAAACATTATTCAATTCACATTTCAGCTAATAAATCATCCCTTATTTTATCTGTTTGCTTTTTCTATGGTGTGAATTCTCTACTGTTTTGAAAGTCTGGTGTACAAATCATTGTTGCCACATAGTTGGCCGTTAACTTTCTCTAACTGCCTTGGACATTTTACTTCTATTTCTCCTGACCGATTGCTTGCAGGCATGAATTAGGCTATATATGCTTTTTAATTTCCTGTGACAAACTAGCAATTGATTTTCCGACCTTTGCCTGCTCACACCTTCAGTATCTTCCAGTTCTCTCTGGTGGAGCTCTTGGTGGCAGCCATACATAGAGGACATAGTTCGAGACTGACCTCCAGAGCTACTGATGAGCTCTGACCTACTTGTCATTCAAGTCAATGTTAGCAAATCCGTGAATGATACAGAAGGATGTAACTTCAACGCTTACTATTTATGTGTCTTTTCAGACATTCTAATGATCTTTTTTAGCTGTTACATACAATAAACTAAATGAATTTAAAGTGAATAATGTGATAACTTTGGGTGTATTCATATGTCTTGAAACCTTCATAATCCATTACCATAATACACACAATGAATGTTTCCACCACACTGAAAATTTCCTCATACCCTTTGCAACCTATCTCTACTTCTTCTCCTCACCCTCATGCAGCCATTGATTTCTTTTCTATAACTATAGATTGGTTTGCATTTTCTAGAATTTGATATAAATGAAATCAAAGAGCATGTGCTTTTGAGAAGGAAGGGCTAACTTCTTTCACTCAGCATAATTATTTTGAATTTTATCCATATAATTGCATGTATCTATAGTTCATTTCTTTATACTGCTAAGTAGATATTTATAAATATACAAGTTAGTTTTACCATTCACTTGCTAATGGACACTTGTATTATTTCCTGTGTTGAGCTATTTTAAATAAAGCTGCTATGAACATTCTTGGGAAAGGCTTTTTATGAACATATGATTTCATTTCTCTTAGTCAAACAACCAGAATTGTTTGACTGAATCACATGGTAGATATATGTTTAACTTTTTAAGGAATCAACAAATTATTTTCCAAAGTGGTTGTATCATTTTCATTTCCACCAGTAGAATGTAAAGGTTCTGGTTGTTCTAATTTCTCATCAATGTTTCGTTGGGCCACAGTTTTCATTTTAGCTAATCCAATTGATGTGTATGTAGTGTTTTGCATTGTGGTTTTAATTTGCATTTCTTTCATGACCAATGAGCTGAACATCTTTACAAGCATTCATTTTCAACTTGTCTTTTTTAGTCTCTGTCTGTATAGGACTTTTACACTTCTTAATTAAATTGTTGGTGTTCTTATTACTGAGTTTTGGGAGTTTTGTATATATTTTAGACATAAGAACTGTTTGATCACATGTGAATGTGATTTGCAAAATTTTGTCCTACTCTTTACCTTGACTTTTTTATTCCCTTAGGAGTACCATCGAAAACACAGATACTCTAATTTTGATAAAGTACAATTTGCCATTCTTTTCTTTTATAGAACATACTTTGGTCATTGTACTTAGAAATTTAGCCTTACTCAAAGTAATATAGATTATTTTCAACTATGGTTTTCTTTTATAAGTTTTATACATTTAGATTTTCTTTTTGGGTCTAGCGTTCTTTCAGAATCAACTTCTGTATATGGTGCTAGGTATGGATCAAAGTCCATTTTTTTAATGTAAGGATATCCAAAATTTCTGACACCATTTGTTGAAAATACTATCCATTTTTCTACTGAGATGAATTTGTATCTTTGTCAAAAGTGAATTTACCATATATGTGTGGTTCTATTTCTAAACTCTCTATGCTGTTCCATTGATCTGTTTATTATTCTTTATACCAGTAACACATTCTCCTGATTACTACAGCTTCATAATAAATCTTAAAGTCAGGTAGTGTGTATTTCTTCCTACTTCATTCTTCTTTTTAGAATTCGTTTTGGCTATTCTTTGCTGTTTGCATTACCATACAAACCTTAGAATTTCCTTGTCAAATTCTTAAAAGAGAAACTTGCTGGGGTTATGATTATTATCACATTGAATTGATATATCACGTTGGAGAGAGCTGGTAGCAGATTGAACTTTCTAACCTGCAACCACAATCTTTCTCTCTATTTGTTTAAATCATCATTGTTTTCTTTCAGCAAGGCTTTTAGATTTTAGTACACAGGACTTACACATCTTCGTCAAATTTATTCCAAAGGTTCATATTTTAAAATTCTATTTGGGATAGTATTTTTTACTTTGATTTCCAAATGTTTGTTGTTAGTATATAGAAATACAATCAATTTTGTATATCCATGTTCTATATTGTGACCGTGATAAATACACTTAAGTCTTGTAGCTTTTCCCCCACCTCAAACTGGGTATCTTCAATTTTTCTTCCTGTCTGATTGTACTGGCTAGAATGAGACTTGGTGAGAGTTCCTTCTTCCTGATATTAGAAAAAAAGCATTTAGTCTTTCACCATTAAGTGTATTGATAGGAGTATATTTTTTACAGATTGTCCTTATTAGATGAAAAAAAATTCTACTACTCTTAGCTTGCTGAGAGTTTTTGTGAAAAGCAGACATTGGATTTTGTCAAATGATTTCTCTCATCTCTTGAAATATTTACGTGGATGTTCCCTCTGAATCTGTTTACATGGTGAATACATTAATAGTTTTTTAGTGTATTTGTATTATTTATATATCCTACCGGGTCATGATGTGTTATCATTTCGACTTACTGTTTCATTTGATACACTATGATTTTGTTTAGAATTTTTGCATCCGTGTTCATGAGAGATACTTGTCTGCACTTTTTTTTTTATTGATATGGTTTGTGTCTCAGAGTAATGCTGGCTTTATTGAATAAATTCAGAAACACTCTGTTCTCAATTTTGGGGGAGTGTTTGTGCAGAATTAGTCTTGTTTTTACCTAAAAGTTCAGTAGCATTCAAAAGTGGAACCATCTGAGTCTCCAATTTTGTTTTTGTTGTTGGAAAGGTTTTGAAGTACAAATTGAACTTCTTTAATCCACATGGGGGCTATTGTGGATCTCTATCTCTTTTTAGTAAAGCTTTTGTAGTTTAAGACTTTCAAGAAATTTTCTCATCTATGTTGTGAAAAAACAACTCTAACCTGAAGTTGTTCATAATATTTAATAATTATCTTTTTAAAAATATATCTATCAGCTCTGTGGTGATGGCACTACTCTTATTCCTGATACTGTTAACTTGTCTATTTTCTCTGTTTCCCTGCAGAGAAGTTAATCATTTTTATTGTTGTTATCAAAGAGCTACCTTTTGGTTTCATACATTTTCTTTATTGTTTTGCTGTTTTCTGTTTAATTAACTTCTGCTCTATATTGACTGTTTCCTTCTCCTTATTTTGGATATAATTTACATTGGCTTTTGTTTCCAATTTGTCCTTAGGTAGAAAGTGAGAATATTGCTTTGAAACTTCTTTTTTCTACATGGTTTGTTTTCATTTGTATTGACTTCAAAATACTTTCTAACCTCTATTTTTGTTTTTTTAATTTACATTTAAATTATTTAGAAGTATGTTGTTTAGCTTCCAAACATTTGGGGTTTTCAATTTAAAAAAAAAAAATTTCTTGTTTAATTTCACTGTGGTCTGATAATACGTTTTGTGTGATTTGAGTACCCTATGTTTACTGAGACTTATCTTCTGGCCAAGACTGTTCTGTTTTTAGTCATTGTTCCGCTAGTATTTGGAAAAAGATACTGATGCCTGTATTCTGTTATCTTGGGGTGGAATATTCTGAAAGTGTCAACTGGGTCAGCTCGGTTGAATGTGGTTTGAGCCTTCATTATTCTCACCTATGAGAGGTCAGTTTTAGAGAGATGCCTTCACGTGTGCTATCAAAAGTATTCACGTATTTTATGTACAAGATTCGCTGCTCCACCAAGGTTCCTGAGCTCCCAGTTGCACCTGAAATTGCACTAGAACTGCTGATGGCTGTGAACTTCCTAGATTGTGAAATAAAATAAATTATAATTAACAGTTAACTCTTTTCAGTGTTTAATACCTGTAGTTCAGTTGGTAATTTTTTCATATATAGCATGTTTCCTGTATGCAGTTGAACTATATAAAGTTCACTGCAAAGCAGATTATCTTCTGTTTTTTGCGTAGCAATCGAAGTTGAAATTTGTTTGCTACATCAACACATTAAGGATATTTCCACAAACTGAGAAATAAAGATGCCAATTTGTAAAAAAAAAAATAGTAATCATAAAGATAGTTATTTATATTTACCAATGTTATGACCAATTCCGGTTCTATGCATTTCTTTTTAAAGATCTATGATTTTCCTCTCAAATCATTTTCTTTTAGCTCTTCTGTGTGTAACAAGTACTTATTTTATGTTTATCTTCAAATGATATATTTATTAGTTATGGAAATCTAGGCTGACATCTTTTTTTGTCTGTTTTAGCTATTTCAGTAATTTGGTTTTGTGGCTATACTTTCTGGCCTTGTTTCTGAAAAAAAAGTCTGCTATCATTCTGATCTTTGTTAGGTAAATCATTCAGATTTTCAGTCTAGGAGACGATTGTTTTTATTAACTATGGAAATTTGGTGCACCATTTCTTCAAATATTTTTCCTAGGTCAGTCCTCTTTTCCTTTCTCCTGACACATTCTAGTTAAACTGCTTGAAGTTGTCTCACAGACCACCAAGTTCTGTTTATTTTTTAGTCTTTTTTTCTTTCTGTATTTTATTTTATACAGTTATGATAGCTATATCTTCAAGTTACAAATCTTATCCACTACAATGCATGATGTACTATTAATTGCCCCTAATAGTAATACTAATGATTTTAATGTCATTACCTACTTAAGACCTGTGTCTTTTCTTTCTCTTTTTCTTTTTCTTTTATTTTTTTTTTG